CGTTCTACCTCTTGCAATCCAAAAGCACGTTTGTTGTTTAAAATATCTCTATTTTTGAGTAAATGAATTCTTTGAAACTTAGAACCAATATCATCCATATCATAAAAAGGTGACAATTATGACAAGAGTAAAAAAACAATTTACTATGTACTAGTTCTTTGAAACCATATTACAGACTGTGGAATAAAAAGGTTTGTAAGTGACAAGTGTGCCAATATTTTAAAATCAGAAAAAATAGACTTTTTTAGAAAAGTTTTCTTCAATTGCAAAAATATCGAAATAAATACAATACACATTTAAACTATGAAAAGAAGATCATAAAACTATCTGCCAAATAAAATTTGATATTATGTGTATGATATAAGTCGTGTCAGTTTGCGGAAGGGTTTTTTTCCTGATTTTGTACTTATTTTTTTTTTAGCCTAATTTCCCTGATTATTCTAAAAATTTTTGCAGACATTGAATTTTTTTGATGCAGCAGACACCCTGATTAAGCAAAAGAGTATCCAATAGTAATAATCAATAATCCCAAGAAAAACTTGTTGTAAGTACAATACTTAAATAAAATTATATATAAGCAAGAGTTTAAAAGTTCTCATTAAAATAGAACAAAATAAAATCATTGTTAGAGAATATTACATTTTTTAATAGATCAGTGTTATATTACGAATCTAAAACAAAAGACACTAACTGCAAAGACAATAAACTATTGCACAAGTTAAAAAAAATGTAATAACTAACAGTACAAACTTTGTACAAGAATATAAAAATATTCTTATCTTAATTGCAATAAATTAAATTATAAAAAAAAATTGTCAGCTAATCATAATAAAAGCAATTTTAAAATCATTAAAATTTACTAAATTAAGTTCATATTTTAACATAAGATAAAATCAACCGTTAGTTAGCAGAACACCAAGGTACAATTAAAGAAATAAAATAACAATAACAATAGTAACAACCTAGAACTTAGGATTTTCTAGATTATACTTTGAATTTATTAAACTTACTCAGTAAAACATTAGAGAAAGACATAAGAAAAAGATAAAATAAAATATGAAAAAAAACAATAATCTGCTTTATTTTACTTAACAAAACTGTGAATAAATATTCACAATGAATTTGATTTTAAATTTGATTTTATTTAGAATCATTAAATTTACAATCAAGAATAATTTAATTTTTTCACAAAATTTAGTAATACTTTAAATTAGTCAATCATTAATTATAAAGTATATTGACAAAGAGATGCAACACCAGGCATCTCTACACTATCTAATGTGTAGGGCAAAATGTCCACGAGACAAGTTGTCCATCATGTTAGGAAACTTTTGAATAAGTTGACCATGTGATTGTCAATTGCTTCTTGTGGTAGCATATTCCAGGACGGTGTGACATGATTAGTAAAAAAGGGATGTTGCTCTTCTCAGTCTCTAACAATCTGCATGTGTAGCTGTTTGTTATGACTTCTTCTGCTATATGCGTTGTTAGAGAACCTTTGAGGAACAAAAATATTAACATCATCAATTTTATTCAGAAATTTAAACTTTTTAACAAGATCTCCTCCGGCTCTTCTCTTTTCCAGTGTTGTCAATCTGAATATATTTAAACGTTTCTCATATGGGAGATGTTTAATAGAGGAAACTTTTGTTGCTCTGCGCTGAACTCTTTCAGGCATAATAATAACCTTTTTTTAAGTGAGGAGATCATGCTTGAATAGCGAATTCCAAGTGTGGGCGCACATATGTGATGTAAAGAGTTCGCCAGAGACAAATGCTTCTGCTTCGGAATGCTTCTTTCAGTAGGCCCAATTTGTAGTTGGCAAATGAGACTGCAGACTCCACTTTCGCACGGACTTTGAGATCTTTTATTATCAGAACACCGAGATGTCGTTCAGTTTTAGTTTCTTCCAGGTGTCGACGTGTGCCTTCTGTGTTTGTCGTTGAGTAGACTTGTTTAAATCTTCTGTGACCTCAACCAACATGCATTGTTTTGCATTTTTCTACATTAAAGAACAGCAGCCATTTGTGAGACCAGTTTATGGCTTGATCAATGTCTGATGATAAAGCTAGCATATCTTCATTCGAAGTGTGCCGAGGACGCTTCCTTAAGGGACACCACTTGTAACTTTTTTCCAGTCTGATGTGGTTATTTCAGTAGCTAAATGAGCATCAATGACAACACGCTGTTGCCTATTGTTGAGCCAAGCATTTATCCACATTATTGTTTTCTTGTTGATGCCATATGCTTTCAATTTGCTCAATCGGCAATTGTGTAGGACTTAATCAAATGCTTTTGCAAAATCAGTGTAAATCACATCGACCGGATACTTTTTGTTTGCGGCTTCTGTGAGGAAGTCGCGAGTTTCAAGGAGATTAGTCAAACAGCTTTTTCTGTGAACGAATCCGTGTTGTAGTATGCTTATTAAACCGTTCGAGTTACAGTGTAGCATTATTTTTTCATTCAATATGCTCTCAAAAATTTGACAGGGTATGGATGCGAGAAAAACTGGTCTATAATTCGATGTTATTAGTTTGTTTCCATTCTTGAAAAGAGGCGTGATGTTGGATTTCATCCAGAGTAGTCGGCTCTGATTCAGATGTATCGTTTTCGTTGCACGATCGGCGCCACATTTATTGTGTCGTTCAGAACAAAATGATTTGTAGTTAGAGCGTGAGATTGACCCATTAGAGTGTCCCCGAATGAGTCTTCCTTTTTTATTTCTATCAAGAAATCTGGCTTGTCTGTTATTACTAGGTCGAGGGTTTTGTTCGACTCTGAAAATCTGTTGTTACGATATGTTTTGAAGGTGATCAATTGAGTAAACATTCGTTTAAGCAATCTTGAAATCTCATGTCACCTGGTCGTTTATTTAGCACGTGCGCTGTTGTCGCTACGCCGCCGCCAATCTCAATATGCTTATAAAATGTGTTGCTAAAATTAAAGTCACCATAGATTAGAATGAAATCGCATTGTAAACTTTGGGCGGCAGCATTAGAAGCTTTGATAGATGCTACACAGTTTTTGAGAGTTTCGTCAATTAAGTCGTGTGGTCGATATATACATCCGAGAAGTATCGAGTTGTTGCCAAGCCTAATAACGCGCCACATTTGTTCAATGGAGTCTGAGTTTAGTTGTGCAAAATTGGTTTCTAATTTAGTTATTTCTTCTTGTATATAAATAACCACGCCACCTCCTTTTCCGACTCTATCTCTTCGATGATCATTTGATGATCAACTTTCCTGTTGATCATTTTCTTAGGGATTATATGCTGTATACTATATGACTTGTCGCAATAACTTAAAAGTATTGTTTTAATTCTTTACTGATGAAGGCTGAATCTCTATCAGAATGGATATAACTTGGCAAACTAAAAACTGAGAATACTTTTGACAAATACTTAATTACAGTCGTAGATGAAATATCAGGACACGGGGTTGCAAAGGGAAAACGAGAATACTCATCAATTATGGTTAAAAAATACTTGTTATTAGTTTCTGATGGAAATGGTCCTTTAAAATCTAAATTCAAACGTTCCAGTGGTTGCGTCGCCTCTATCAAAATATATTTTAGTGGTTTGTGGTATCTAGGCTTACGTTCACAATATAATTTGCATTAATTAGTTATTAGTTTAACATCATCAATTGAGAAAGGTAAATTACGATTTTTAATAAAAGTATAAAATCTAGTTACTCCAGGATGACAGTGATTGATGAAGCTGAATTAAGTTGTCAGTGTTTATTGCTGAGCAATTTATTCTAGAAAATGTGTCAGCTGGGATATTTAATTTCCCTACCATGTAAACAATGTCATAGCGAGTTAAATTTTCCATCTATAAAATTTTATCAGTTTTAATTTTTGATTAATATTGCTTTTCGAAGATATAAGGTGCTGATCGGTAATATGTCTAAAATGGAAGAAGCTATCTTGTCGGAAAAGTTTGGAGTATTTTATTTAAAGTAGTATGAGAACAGTCTGATGATGCGCTTCATGGATTTAGTATCATGAGGAGGAGGCATCCCTTTTATAGGTTAAAGACGACTGGGATCTGGTTTGAGTTTTCGTTCTTCTATAAGATAACCAAGAATGGAAATTTTATCTTGGGAGAAGCTAAACTTATCATGATTATATGTAAGATTTATATTTATAGCTGACTTGAGAAATTTTTCTAGATTGCTATCATATTCCTCTTGGGTTTTACCACATATTGTCAGATCATCTAATAAGCAAAAGTCTATCTCTTTTTATAAATTCGTTTATGGTACGTTGAAAACAAACAACACCGTTTTCAATTCCAATTGGCATTCGCTTAAATCGATACATCATCCCATTTGCTTCAAAAGCTGTAAATTTTCTATCATTTTTGGTAATTGGAGTATTGTTTAAGGCGGATTTCAAATCAACTGTGCCTAATATTTTCTACTGAGCAATTTTGTTTACTTGATCATCAATCCTTGGTAATGGGTAAGCGTCTAGTTGAGTATACTTATTTTTTGTTTGACTGTAGTCGATGACTAATCTTTTCTTAGAGCGTTCTCTTTTAGTAATAACTACCTGAGCTCTCCAGGGAGAATTTGAAAGTTCAATAATATCCTCTTTAAGCATATGTTGTACTTCCATTTCAATGAATGACTAGTCTTCCTTGCTACATCGACAAAATTTTGAAGCTATTGGTTACAGTTAGGCGATAAATTGCTAAATAAAATAGGTGGAGACTCGTTCAACTTGGTTTAATTTCGGCAAACCACAAATTATTAGTAGCGGTCTTTTTTCTTTAAATTGAAAGGTTACAGCTTTGTGTTGGTTTTGAAAATCAAGACTCAAAATAACATTCATGCATAACTCATTTAAGATTTTAAGTTTCACTAGTTTATAATGCTCATTTTTTATTGAAATATTGACAAAAAGCTGAAATGGAAGCAGAAATGTTTTTTAAATTAGTTCTGTGTTCAGGGTAGTCTAGTCAAGTAAGTGCAGGATTGTATGAGTTCAAAGGTTGATCAACCAGGTTTAGCTCTGCCTGTTGCAAATTTAGAAGATTTACATAACTTGGCAAAATGAAGAACCTTCTCACATTTAAAACAAATTGACTCTCTAGCAGGACAGACAACTTTAGCATGTCTTTGATTCCTACAGTTCCAGCAATTTGAAACAGAATTTGAGTTAAATTGCTTTGGCTTTTTTGTTATAGCAGCTACTGTTGATGTACTATACTGGAGGTAATTTTCAGCATTTTTCTGTACGGATTCCAAGGTTCTTTTTTTTAAAAACATTTCATCCTGACTTATTGTACTATTTTCTATTATTCTCTGTCTGACAATTTGTAAACTTATATTTGTTATAAATGCATTTCCAATATATTCATTGCGATATTCAATTGCAAACACTTGTTTAAAGTTACATTCTTTTGCCAAAACTTTAAAAGCAAGTGAATATTTATCTAAACTTTCTCCTGGCTGTTGTGTACGTGTTGCCAAGAGTTGTTGTGCATAAACCTCATTTGATGGTTTAATGTGCACAGATTGTAAAGCTTGTATTGCTGCTTCATAATTTGGACAATCGCTTATTATTTCACAAACATCGGGCACAACAAAATTAGTCATGATTTTTAACTTGTTGAGTTCTTGGGTGAGTTCATCAAAATAATGCTGAAATGTTCTGAGCCAATATTTAAATAATTTTGTTGCAAAAGGTGAGTTGAGTAATGTATGTATCCAAGCGAAAAGGTCTTAGGGCTCTATCGATATTTTGTGTTAACAAGAGTAGAAAATTGAAGCATTTGTATGAAAAATAACAACAATTTTAATTCAATTTGCTGTATGAATAACAATTTGCTGTATGAATAACCCTTTATTTCATGTTTTTAAAGATCTATTTATCTTTAAGGTGGTACTAGCCCATAAAAATTAAAACAGTCAAATTATTTAATTTTGATGAAATATTTTTTTTTAAACTGTGTGTATTAAAAAATTATTTAGAGTAAATATAGTAAAAAGTATAAATATACTCAAAAACATGCTGAGTCAGCAAAAAGTATGCAGTTTTAACTGCGTTTTCAAGCAAGGATTTCTCATGAAATAGTAAGTTGGAGGCTAAATTTTTGCAAAAAGGTTAACAACATGTGGATTGAGGGATTTGACCAGAATCACCAACAGAACTTTTACTAAATCAAAATGGCTGCACTTTAAAAAATAATTTTTAACTGTTATGTAAAATTTGTGCTGCCATGTACTATGTCATTATCTTGACAACAGCTAACTATAAAATTCTCTTTTTGGTCAAATACTTTTACAGTAACCTGATAAACAATCTGTGAAAATTTTAACCATAATCTCTCCAAGTAGTTCAAAAGATATTCTTGTTTAAAGTTTAAAAATCTGTTAACAGAGAAAACGCAAGAAAACAAAAGCAACATTAACAATATAAATCTTTAAAAATTTCACATAAAAGTCATCCTTGCTAAATCCGTTTCTTATACCTCTAAACTTTTTTTCCATGATTTTGTCACTTTTTTTTCCTTCCTTTCCATGTAATATCTTTTTTAATTGCACCGAGAAGAAAATATTTTCCACAATGAAATCCAAGTTGTTGAAATGTTTCTTTATGCGAAACGTAACCTCCATTAAAAGATAGAAAAAGACTGAGAAAACAGCTAACTCTAAAACCTTTTTTGAAACAAAATGTGTTTTGGGGCATTTTTTCCAGATTATTTGATTAAAAGATTCATTAAGATTTTGAGTAAAGCTGTATAAATATTTGGAAAAAAGATTGTCAGAACTAAGTTCTATAAATATTAGATGTAATAGCTTTTTAATAGCAACTGGTAAGTTTAACTTGTTTTTATAAGTGCATTGACCTGTAATCTTATCCCTTTGCCATTTGCACCAGCTAGTATTGGTTCTGGGACAAAATTGATGGCGCATAGCAGCATCACCTTCGAAGCAATGCCATAAAACTGCAAGTACAACTTTTTTCATAGGGTACAGTTTAGTCATGCAACTTTTTTTTTTTTTTTTAATGCACGTAGATTCCGAATTCTTGTTTCAAGTTATGTCTTGTTTTCCATAGGTCATAACCAGCTGATCCTTTTCTTTTTGACTAAATCTCACAAGATTTACAAAATTTTGACATGGGGTCATTGTCTAGGACCTTTCTATTATCCTTTGAAATTGCAGAAACCACGCTATTCAGGGAAGAATAACCCCTTTCTTGCCAATCCCGTCAATAGAAATATGACAGTCAATAATATCATTGCTACACGCATTGATGTTAAGCATTTGACGCACTTCATGAGCAGCTTTTTGGGTACTTTTTTCAGCAGATTTTTCATATGCGCAATAAAGTGTCTCATTAATTTTTTTATACGAAGTAAATGCAATAGAAAATGACATATTCATCATTGTTGTAAATGTTTCAATACCAGCATGACCTTTACCTATCTCGCAAAAAGCTAACTGCGAACTGTGCGATAGGTAATTTCATGTGCTTTTTTTACAAGTTTACTTTTTTGTAAAAGTATGAATTGAGGAGAAGTATAAGAAAATCTCCATGCTAAACAAAAACTACATTTTATACATAATTTAGGTAAAACCCTTGGTGTTCATTTTCAATATGTGTAAGCTTTACAGGTAAGCTACACTCAGAACAGCGTGAGAACACCTTAAATAAATCTTTCATAATGCCAAAATATATAAATATAAAAAAATTAAGGTCGTTAGATGTCTGTTTATTTTTAGCTGACCTGCATCTCTCTTTATCTTTCAGCCAATTCCTTGTTGTTGTTTACATTAATGCTCATCACACTGAATGGCTTGATTCTAGTGTCAGTGACTCTGCAGGTGTTAGGACCCACAGTTTTTGTCTTACTTAATCTCTAACTCAATTAGTCAATTTTCTAACTCGCTTTCCAGACAAACTGAATCATTTACCTTTTCTATTGATCATGGTTGGATCTCTCTCAATCTAATTTCTCATTCTTCTTCATCATCAGAATCCTCATATCATCTTATCTTTTACTACTACCTAAAAGCTGACTGGGACTCTTTTTGTTATTTTCTTCATGATGGTCCTTGGGTATAAATCTTTTGTCTTTCTGTTAATAAATGTGTTTCTTACATAACTTCTTGGATTCAGGCTGGTATGGAATCTTTTTTTCCCTCTCGATAATTCCATGTTAAGTCTCGTTCTTCTCCATGGTTTTCCTCAACTTATCTGCTACCATTTCGAACCGTAACCATGACTTTAAAATCTATTAGCTAAATAAATCTCCAGAAAAAAGACATCGTTAGCTATTGCCAGAAATCATTGTAAAAAGGTTTTATCTCCTGCCAAAGCCCGCTGTTCTCAGGTTACAAAATCTTGTATTTATCTTAAAAATTAGGCTCCAGAGGCTTCTAGAGAATTTTTAACAGTGATTATAATAAGAACAAACCTGTGTTTCTTCTTCTCTTGCATGTTTTAGATTTTGTTAGACAAAGGTGAATTGTTTGCTATGAATATTTTATCAATCTTATATCTTGATTCCACTAATCAAATCTACCTAATATTGCTGTGAAAAAGGTTGATCCATAACTTGACAATAGCATAACTTCAACTTCTGTATCTAAAGTGATTTCATGTATAATATTTTATATCTTTACTTAACAATCACCTAATCTCTCATCTTTAATCTTATAACTTACTTTTTGATCAAGCACTCTTCTTCATTTCCTGTAACCTCAGAGGTTCCTCATGGTTGTTATTTTGGCGGCGTTGTTTGCTAATGATACTACCATTTATTTTTGTCTTGATGAGAAGCCAACGAGCTTGAAATTTGAGCTTGATGAGCTTAAAAGGATCTCACTTCTGCTAAAGCATGGCGCTCTCAGCGGCTGGTGAACTTTTACTCAAATAAAACTCAAATTTTTTTAGATAGTTGTTATCGCAACAAACTAGATTTTCTTCTTATATTTGTTAGCGGCCATCTACCCTTCGTCTTCTAGGATTAACTTTTACTTCTGATCTTTTTTGGAAACCCTATATCAAAATAATTTCAAAAATAACATCTGTTAAGGTTGCACCTTTTTATCGTACTCGCCACTTTCTAACTCTGGACTCTATTCTTTATTTCTATAAATCTCAAATCCGTCCTTGTATGGAATACTGTTGCTATATCTTATGGGAACCTTTCTCTTTTAGATATAGCAACAGTATTTTTTCTCCCTTTATCATGTTTTCTTGATTCATATAATTTGCAATATTTGAAATCATCTGTTAATCTTTATCTTGCTTTAAAAACTTCATCTTTTCTCTTCCAGTAACTTTTAACTCTAATAGTGGTTGCTGGCAACCTTGTTGGAAGTGATGATGTTGAAGAAAAAAAAAGTTCAAAGGTTGATAAATTCGACACTTCCGAAATTAAAAACAATATGAAAGGCGAAATAATGTCTTTAGAGCAGTCATGGTGAAAACTTATATATCTTGTAACATACTTGGAGTTTAATAATGTTGTTGACGATATTTAAATCATTTTGTTTTTGAGAAATAAATTTCATTTAAAAAATCATTTATCCTACATTTGAAAAATATCAAAATAATAATCATTAATCAGCGTAGCTATATAATAAAAAAGAAAGTTGAAACCTAACTTATTTCAAATTTTGTTTGCATAACTTTAATACCCAAATATGATTTCAACATCCATACAAATAAATATTTTTAGGTGCCTTTGGAAAAGATGATAAAATTATCACTATGTTGAAAATCTTTACTTTATTTGCTATGTGTTAGGAGAAATTTACGTAGATTGTATTTCAAATGCTTTACTTAATCTTTGGTTAAACTTCATTTTTCATAATTTAGTATTAATTTTGTGAACTTGTAGTAGTGTAAAACAATATTTCAAAAAAGAAGTCTTCTAAAAGTACTAGCACAGACATTGTACATTTATAATAAATGCACATATAAAAATTATAGCAATACAGATCTGTAAATCAAAATATATATATATATATATATATATATATATATATATATATATATATATATATATATATATATATATATATATATATATATATATATTGCGATTACTTCTCCCTCTAAAGAAAAATTATTTAATTAAATTGATATAAAATTCATTAAAATAGGTAATAATAAAATTTCTATAATAACTAATATTAATATTATATTACTTCTAATAATTATTATTTCTATAATACTAATACAAAACTTAGTTATTATAAAATTAAAATCAAGTAACATTATTCTTATTCTAATCCACCTCTTATTTATTCATAAATTATTCCTATAACTAATATAATTATAAATAAATAAATAATAGATTTTGAATAATAATCTATTAAATTTGAGTTTACTGATCACGGAAATAAGTAAACTATTTATAAATCAAATACCAAAAATAAAATAGCAATTAAAAAAAATCCAATAGAAAATGGTTGACGATTTAAATGAAAAGGATTAAATCTACATTCATAAATAGAAACTTTTTTTTTTTGTCAGGTGATTTTAAAAAAAAGAAGAATTTAAAGAAATAAAACAATAAAACTATAAATAAAAAGATAAATAAATTTAACTTCATGAATTATTTCTTAAATGTTGAATA